GGAGGGCTATCCAAGTGAGTTGGTTATCACTTCCAAAGGAAGTGCTTTAAATGAGCTTAGAGTGGATTTTCTTCCATTTACCACTTTAAGCAGGTTGTATAGGAGAAGTTTTCACATTTTCCCCATTTCAACCAAACTGCGACCAGTCCGTCCCGCTACTCTTGACCCCCTTTAACCCCTTTCAAACTTTAGATACTTAAGCTTCAAGTGTTTACTGGACATTGCACGTAAAAAATAGATGCACTGGCATCCCACTGACCGCAGCAGCAGCTGTTGCGAGTTGAGACTGCTCACTCATTGTGGTGCTGGCCATCTCGTCCTCGTCCTCGTCCTCATCCTCATCCTCGTTACTGTTAATCCCTCATCCTCACATGGCGTTAAGGCACACAGCTGGCCGAGGCAGCCTTAAAGCGCCCAAATTGCAGTTAGCTTTTTCCCAGTCAGCCTGTCGCACAAAAGGCAATGCAGATGCCTCGGAAAAAAGAGGCCATGAGAGGGTAAATCTCTCCATGTATGGCAGTGTGAGTGGAGATAAACAAAAACCGAATTAGTCGTGAAAAGCAGAGTGGCAAAACATTTATTTTTTGCCACCAGGCCACACTGCTGTGTTCCTGGCTCACCCTAGCCCAAAAACCACAAAACCGTTGGGGCTTTCAAGCTTTCGGACAGCTGCTATTCACTTGACTCGCCTCGCTCCTGCCTCGACAAAAAGCCAGCAAAGAAAACTCTAAACCTAAAAGGAAAACAATTTAAATTAATTGGAAGGTAGCTGAATTATGGGAGGGAACGGGAAACTCGTGAACTAATATTACTTTCAGAAACATTAACATATTTTTTTGAGGCATCTGCTGCTGTCCAACAAACAATCAAAATTACGTCAATGGCCGAAACTCTGGCCCAAAGTTTCCACTTGTGTGTATGCAAATCGCCGGCGACTAATTTAAGGTTTGTATGACAGCCGCAAATTAATTCAAACAAAGTGATCAGCATAAAGCAAACAGCAACTGCCGCACTGGGAGAGCCGTGCTGAGCTTCCCGTAGTGTTCAGGCACCCCAATTCAATGTTAGTCTTATATGTGCCGCAATATATATTCCATAATATATTCAATTGTGTGGCCCACCAGTCACAAATGCAGATGCAGATGGAGATGCAGATACAGCAGCAGCTGCAGGCAGCAGAGCGAGGTGCATGGACAGTGCATATCATTTGAGTCGTGGGTCAGCTCCAGTTCAGTGGGTCAGGCGAGGTCACGCAAACAGGAGCAAAGCAGTAGGTGCATATATAATGCGAACTAGTCAAAAATTCATCAGGCTATTTCATTTTATGGATGGTAGTTAAAAGTAAAGCGACAGAGTCGTCCTTCCTGCGAGTCAAGAGCATAAATCATTTTTGTTAAAAATGCAATCGTGAACTAGGAAAGAGAGAAAGGGAACTTGATCACTGGATCTCGCTACTGCATCAATGCTGTCTTAATCCCATTAATCCCATGTGTCACAATAGCCTCAACTGTTGCTGTTGCTCAGTTCTAGGTTGGGTGCTCCTGTTCTGGTCATTGGCGGCCATTCGCATCGGCAGGTGTCATTCAGGAAGTATTTGTCAGCACACAGCTCCTATGGATGTAGGGTCTTTCATTAGTGTCATGCAGAGGCTTGGACAGACTCAGCGAAATCCAGCTGGCAGATATGTATCTATATATATCATAAGCAGCTGCGCGAGAATCAGTCAAGCCATTGAGCTAGGCAAGCTATGCCGAATGGTCTCCGTGACATGTGACTCTTGCCAGAGAGCCTGAGCCTCCCCCCATCTCTGCATCGATGCTCTTACATGGCACTCACTTGGCTTGCTTGTCACGTACCCCAAAGTCGCCATTTTTGTTTGATTTATTTACCTGCTGGCCACCGCTATGTTCTGGCTCTCGCTCTGGCTCTGGCCAGTGTGGAAACTGTTAACTGTCATCTCTGGACTAGCCAGTATTGAGACGCGGCGGTGATGATGATGTTGCCATGTGTGTGCCTCTGCCAGTTTGTGCGAACCGGGACTTAGCCAACAGCATCTGTGTTCATGTTGCGGACCTGTTTTGCCCCTCTCTGCTATTAGCGTCCCATGCCAAAAATATCTAAGCGCCACGACTGACTGACTACGACCATCCGGTGAGTTGGTGAGCAGTTTGGTGAATGAGTGACTCGGTGACTCGGTGAGTGGGTGATTTTTTTGCTGTCTTGGTTTTCCACTGACATGCATGTGGGTTTTGTGGTTTTACGTACCACGCGGCGTATGCGTGTCGTATATTTGTTATGCTCTTTCAGAGCGCAAATTCAATTTGTGTCCTAACCTCACTTGCCACAGATGTCTGTTTATTCAACGAGCCCCTGTCCAGTCCCTTTCCCCGTCCCTGACACAATCCTCTTGGCGTCTCGGTTAAGGCTCAAATCGGTTCAATGATACGGGACTGAACATGCATTTTTAAAGAGCTAAGAGAGCCAAAGTTTGTGACTTCTTATGTATATAAAACAGATCTGGATCGACTTAGCCCATGTTAAAGATTTTAAGCGCTTAGCCGGAGCTATTCTCCGCTGGGAAAGTATGTGTATTATATTATTTCGCAAGTGTCGTTGGGATAACGGAACTCCAGATGAAGCGTACGCCATGTGGTGCCGCAGCCAATCTTCGATGTTGTCCAAAGGGAAATTTGCATGTTGGGGAGACAGCTTTCGACTGGCTCCTGGCTCGCTGATTGCAGCAACAAATTGCAATGTTATTAAGTTTATTAAAAGCACTCGCACAACGGCAACAAGGACATCGCCGAGTTTTGAAAGGCAGCGTAAATTAAATTTTGTTGGCCGCTTAACTTTAGCTGTGATGCTGCTGCTGTTGCAGTTCTGCATAATTTACTTGAAGCATTTCGCAAACAATGCCCCTACCCCTTTTCCAGACCGTTCGCGTCCCATGCCGTCCTTCGTGCAGCTGAAGCTTGCTCAGTCGCAGGCGTCGGCAAGTTGCAAGTTTTTCGCTGATGCTCGTTAATGTTTGGCAACTAGCCCTGCTTCAAGCTTCAAGCTCCAACTGCAACTGCCTTTCATTACTACAACTAACGCAACAGCAGCCTGCTGGGTGTCCTTTGCCGGTTGTCACTTGCGATTGTTTCTATACATTTGCGAGCATTGTCTGGCCATTGCTGTCTGGATCGTTATGAGTTTTGCCAATTTGTTGCTGCAGCACAACCACTGCCCTCCCACCCGACCATTGTCTTACTTGTATTCGCATTTAAAATTTCTCAAGTTTTAGGGAGCGGAAAACTTTTCCCCCATGTTTGTTTGAAATTGTTTTTAATGACTCCGAATTTCTGGCAATTTGTTTCGCTCTCGATTCCTGACAAATGTTGACAAGCTTTCCTTTCCCAACTGGCTCCCAGTGCCGCCTAATGAATCGTTCCTCTCTGGGACATACAAATGCATCTCAGATAGGGCTTTCTTTTCAATTTGGACCCTGCGGCAGAGGCTCGAAGGACTACTTCCTGGCATTGAATAGCTGTGGAAGAACGAAGGAAAGTTTCAGCGATTGCCAGGTAAATTTCTGCTCACATTTTCTACATTAGTCAGCATTAAAAATTTATTTGCTTTGAGTAGATTACACGCACCCACCACAACACAACACAACACAGCACAGCACAGCACAACTGTGGCTGGATGGTGGGAGGTTGCAACAAGAAATAACGGCTTCTAAAGTTTCATCCTCGCTTTTTTCCATATTCCCTGCTAACCGCATCGCATAAGATAGAGAGAGAGCTGTAAGAAGCAAAGCATAAAAAAACGAACAGAGAAAAATGCACGCCGGCTTTGGAAGACTTGTGGTGCGGGTGCAGTGGTTATTGTGGGGTTGGTCGATGGGTATGGTAATGCCGAGGGGGGTGGAAAACAAATGAGCTGGCTGCAAATTAAGTGCAGCTGCCAGATTCACTTTGCCGCCGCAACTACTTTAAACAAACTTTAACTGCGCTTTAAGTTTCCATTAAAAGTCGCATCTGTGCCCATAAATTCATGAGTTGCCCGCGTCTTATCCCACATGTTGTCTGTCTGAAATAAATGTGTCAGGGACCAAAGAGAACAGAACGTTTGTTTGGAATCAAATCAGAATTAAAAACCAGCTTAATAATAATATTGTGGCATAATAGTATATAAGTGTATATTAAATTGGAATAAATACATATGTGGGCTGGGTTTTGCCAATTTCGAGATCAAGACCATGGTGTAACTATATAAGGTGGAGGACGATAACTATTTTCCACCCTCTCTCTTGGCTTTTGACTGTTGCTGTTGTATACTGCAATAAAATACCGTCCTCAAAAAAGAGCAGCTCTCGCGATGGGACTACCTAATATAGTTGTACCATGGCCTAGACAAGCGAGCAAGAGCGAAATCGCTCCCAGGCGAACTCCCAATCACAACAGCAGTTACGAGCAATGGCGAATTCAACGAGAGCACAAATCCGATCGGCGAGAAAGACGCCGAGAGAGTTTCAACTCAGCCGCCGACGTAAGAGGTTGTGGGCTTATATTTCTTGCACTATTTTTACTTTACCTTCAACAATAAATTTAAGCCTCCACATACAAAATACATACAAAATAAGCTCCGAAAAGAGCCGCATTGTGCGGTTGCGTGCGAAGAGAATATTTAAATAATTTAATTAATTTTTGTGCCCGGAGCAAGCGGTGTTTTACTATTGCAAGAATGTAACAACCAAGATATAGTTTATTGATCGATTTGAAGTGCTCGAATTTTAAGTACCGACTGCTAATATCTCTTTACCGGCAGCGGCAGCTGAATCTGAATCTGAATCTGAATCTACCCAACACTATAGGGTAGCAGCATGTCGCCCATTCAGTGTGACTGATGTGTCATTCGTCGATCAACGCGCCTCGCAACGAGCGTACGCGATAAGACCATTCTGTTTGTGCGAGTAAGCAAACCTTTTAAAACATTATATTTGTTTTTAATTATAGCACGAGTACGATTAGTATTTAAAATGCTGGAACCACCGACAATAGCGGATCTCAGTCAATTCGATTTGTTTCGAATACTCGACTTTGTGAAGAATAATTGTGATCCGACGGACAAAGAAGCACCTTTCAACCACGTCAACTACGCTGACCTCTACAATTTTGCGGCCACTTGCAAGAGGCATCGCCGCATCCTATGGGACTGGTCTCGGGATATGTATAAGTCGCTTGAAATCGAGCTGCTCCAAGTTCGTACTTTCAAGAAGCTGACCATCAAGTTTAATGAAATCCACAACGCTTTGGAAGGTGCCTCAAAGGCTAAGAAGGATTGGTACCTGGATGTCTTTATCAGGGCCATGCTGGGAAATGAGCATCTCGAGTGCATTGAACTAAGCTACGCACCAAGAAAGTACCTCAATAGTCACGATGAAATCTTTAAAAAAATATTAAGAGTGATACAAGGCACTTCTGATCAAGAGGAGTCACTGAATCCCTATCCAAAGAGCAGTGCCAAAGTAAAAGAGATAATTGTAAATATCGCAGGTGTGTACAGGTATCTGCACCGAAACTAACAGATTTGTACAGGTAACTAGACTGTTTTCCACATTTCAGAGTGTGACTTCTTCGGTCTGGGAGAGTTTCGCAATATTTCAAAGCTTCGTCTCACTGCCAGATTTGCCATGTTCGATCTGGTTGAGTTCTGTAAGAATAACCAGTCATTGTTTAGCTTGGAGGTTAACTCTTATCTGCACTCAGACCATGGAAAATTAACGTACATCGTTAAACACTGCCCGAATTTAAAGGAATTAAAATTCGTGATGAACGATAATGGGTGGATAAGAGATGAGGAATATGTGAGGTTGGCATATCTGGACAAGCTGCAGCAATTGGAAATCAAGAAACCCGACAACATAGCATTGGAGACAGATGTGGAAATGGAAGAGGACTACCCGTGTAAAAGACCCAGAATGGATGCTGAATACGAGGCTCTGATCATATCAGAGAAACCAAAGGAGGCAAACGTTCCCGCTAGGAGCCTTCTCACAGCCATCGCTGCCAAGAAAAGGCAAATACTGGCGCGGTTGATATTGAAGTTCGAAATAGATGATGATTTGGCGGAAACTATCGCAAAAATCAAGAGCCTAAGATTCCTGGAATGTGGTATCTACGATGCAGGAAGTATTCGACATTTGGCAAAGCTCGACAAACTCACCAAATTGAGTCTGCTGAGCAGGGGTCACCTGATTTCAGCAGAGGTCATGGAGCTACTAGCCAGACATATACCTGTCTCGAGTTTCGATACCAAAATTTCGTTCAGCCCTAAGGGAACTCTTTTCATAGATTCAAATGATCCCAACCTGTTCCGGGAAAATAATTTTGAATTTTTTCTTAAAATGGAAAACTTTAAGCTTTTGTGGGTTTGCTCCAACATGCTCACAGCAATGAACCATCTTGCCATCCTGCCATCTTTCTTGGAAAATGGCATAAAGATAAAAGGCAACGAATTTTCTGTATCCTTTGATCTTGAGTCAAAACATCTTTATATTTATTGTATGAATCAAGTATTTATGCATGAAAAGTTCACACTTCCAGTAGTTAAGAATCTGCAATCATTTTACATGGAATCCAGGGCAATGTCGATGACAAACATTCTGAAGTCCCTGAAAACACACTACTCGACAACACTGCGGGAAGTTGACATTAATATGTCGGAAGGCTATTATAGTAATCCCCATTTCCTCAGTGAAGAAGATGTCGCTGTCCTTGCTCAGATAGCCGGCCTCCAAAAGGTTGGCTGTGTATTACAAAAGCTGAAATTCATTCAGCCACTGGCACAGCTGACAGAGCTGGAGAGCTTAAAAGTTTATTCAGAGCATAACCCAAGGAAAGTCGAATTCGCAAGGTGGCTGTTACCCATTCTGGAAAGGTGCCCGGAACTGGACTATTTTCAAATCGCTCTAAAGGATCTACCCCGGCACCCTAAGAAGCTACCAAAGAAGTTACCAAAGAAGTTCTTTATTCACCTCGATAGTGCACTAAATAGAAGCAGGGTCGGTAGCCCGCATGAGTTAGAATTCTGCATGGTTTCAAGCGCCGACTTCAAATTAACGGAAAAACAGGTGAGTAGCATCAGAAGATGCAACGTTATTGTAACGTTATTGTCTTGCGAACTAAGCGGAAATTCGTCTTTCAGATGAGACAGACTAAAAATATGAAATACGCGACTGTGGAGCTCACATATCAAGATGAAGATGAATATAGAGTCTGGAATTTTTAAAATTAATAACAACAAAGTATATTTCGTATGACCGGGACTTAGGTTTAAGCTTTCTTGACTGTTTCCTTTTCCTCAAAACCGTCGTACAACTATTTAATATAAAGCAAAACAGAGCTGATGTTCATACATTGGAAACAATAGCATAATAGAATAGTCTGAGAAATGGAAAGTTTCAGTCATTTCAAGCCTGACTCTGTCATTAAGGCAATTAATTGAATTCAATTATCAGGATTGATGCGGATGCAAATGCACCAAAGTATATGTTATTCGTATATGATTAAAAAAGGAGATTCTTGCATTTTAATGACATTAAACACGACCTGCAGAACTCCACCCACATCGAAATTACAGCTGTGCTTCATCTTAAGTAATAATTAAATAAATTTAATACGTGTTACACCAAAGGTTTCACAGGAAGCTTTGTACTGTGGAAATCTGAAAATATGATCGACTAGCTTTCTCTTTAGTTCTCTCGTTTAGTACAATTGTAGCTTAAGCTACTCTCGCATTACCTGGAGCTGCCTGTTGGGAAAGGTTTGTAATTCCAATAGCAGTTTTTAAGCTAGTCTCAAATTGAAATTGACGTTGAATAGACAACAGCTGGCACTTGGCATTAGATTGTCCTGTGTGCGGTGTTGAAAGTGCCTCGGGGCACTGGGCTCGGCTGGAATGCAAATTGCGTATACGCAGCGGGTGCCGGATGTGATGTGAGTGCAATGTGCAAACTAAGCAACGAGCAGTATCTGTTTTATTTACGCACTGAAAACTCGTTGAAAACAATCAAACATAGATAGAGAGAGAGAGAGAGAGAGAAAGAGAGAAGGAGAGGGAGAGGCAATGAATGCTAAATTATTTAGGCTGAGTGCATTAGTGCCCAGCAGAGAGACTGAGAGACGCACAGACAGACCACAGTGGCATAATTTGTCAGCTGTCGGACAATTTTGTGAGACTGCTGCTAATTAAATATGCCAGAATATGCAATGCCAGCTGATTCGCAAAGTAGTTGAGTGCCGTGCAAACAGCAGGCGCAGACACAACTAAATAAAATAAAAGCCGAGCGTGATCTGAGCTAGAGTCCAAGCCAAGGCAAAGAATGCCACAATCAAGCAATACAATACACTCCCCATCTAATCAGACAATGTCAATGGGTGCACTCAGCTGTGTCTGCCACAGTTTCTTGATGTTTCATACTTGTATTGGTTTTGTGGCTTCCACATTTGTCATTAATTTACGAGTTGGCCTGGAGCTGCAGCTGGCACACAGGACTGAGGCTTTTACTGAAGTGCCACGGAATAAAATATGTGAATACTTATTTTCACCTCAATGGGATGATAGGCTCTGACCGCAATGCTCTCATTAGGTCATTGGCAGGCAAATTTCAACTTAATCTCATCTTTAATCCTTGATAACGATATGCGAATTTAATCTCTCTGCTAAGTATCCGTATCCATATCACGGCATTTATTTGCATCTTAATTTACTTTAACACTAACTGAGATACCGGAATTCCAAAAATTATAGATGGGAGAGGATTCCCCACACATATGTATATTTCCTGCGAAATTCAGGCCAACTTTAATTCAAATTCGCAGCCGAGACCCGGATATATGTACATATGTGCATCATCTCCGGGCTGGGATAATCTTTATTGTTTCACAGTTCAGTGACACAAATTTGCAGTTGCGATTGAATAAATTCTCACATTATTCGGATTCCAGAGATTCCACAAATATATCTATATTGGCCCAAAAAAAGGCAGACGATGTGTACATTTCGTGGCATGGCCATACGTGGCATACACACGTATTTATCTTCCGGGTATCTCTCTAAGGGTCGTTGTAAATTGGTTTGAATAGGTCTCTGCATTATGTGAAATTTATTTACGAGAAAACTGAAAGTACATTAAAGCTTAATTTGTGAAAAATATAAATAAATATATATATAATATATATAAATATAAATACACAAGTCTGGCATACATATTTGTGCACTTAATTACAAAATGCATGGCGAAAATTATGCACTGACTTTGGCCATTAATTCAACCGTTAAGGGCAGAAAGTTAACTTAATTTGACTTTATTTAATTTCATTTATAAATACAGACAGAAACAGTCGAAAAATCGGGAAAACATACATCTGACAAGCCAGTTTTACTTGAGGGATTATGGAACACCCCTTTCAGCGAATATTCAATTAGCCGTCTAGCTTAGTGTTCGCCCTTCTCCATGCCAATTATGTTACCTTTCTGTGCAACCAATTAGCCGTTTTATGCGAACGGGCCACTGACTAACACTTAAACCGTATCTGAAACTGAAACTTCAAACCGCCGCTCCCAGCCAGAGTCGCAGATTCACAGAGCCCCAGAGCTGGGACTGATGAGGATGTCGATGCCTTTGGCCATAAACCAATTATTCGACGTCCCAAAAGGGAAGACTCCTCTTGCCTTGTCAATTAATTGGATTATTTATGTGTATTTTGATGGAAACAAAACGCAATCACTTAGCGAGTTTGTGTGTGTGTGTGTGTGTGTGTGTGACAAATTGGAGAGGCTCCGCTTGGGCTCCAATGAAGCTGGGGTAAATTTGGCTGGGGTCAAACAAAAGGCTGGCAATATCATTTATGATCTATGAGGCCTAACAATAACCTATTCAAAGTTGGTTTTTTTTTTCGATACATTTTTTTAGATCATACTTTGTTTCATATGAGTATTTCCGCTACAAAATCTTTGTTTTAAGTATATTAAGTACCTACCAAAGATCAGCAAGGGTTTTGCTCTGATTCCTTAAATATTCTGTGGTGGATAGAATACGGATGTCGAATATATATATAAGTCTTAACAACACTGGATGGTCAAGAGCACACAGTAAGTCAGTTATTTAGTTATTACAACTCAAAGTTGCGTAAACTCAGTTGAAGTCTATAAAAACGGTGGTCAAGCTACTATTTTACAAAATAATAGATACAAAAAGATACAAAAGTACAAAAACACACAGAGACAGGAGCGAGGACGGACTCATTGATGACACATATCTTTATCTGGCTATTGCTGTGAAATGTGATTTGGGAACTGCACTGAACTGTATCATGGGAAATTGCCACCCTCTGATGCCTGCTTTCTGTGAACTTGGAGTGCTTCAACAATGACATTAAGTACTACTGTCAACGTCTTTTTGTTGCCGAGCAAACCCTAGCCCCAAGCTGTTAAAGGCTGTTGTGTGGGGATCGACCAGGCGCCAGACAGAGCAGGATACGACACTGAGGTCTTTGTGTTCGATGAATGTCAACAAGTTGGGCAAGTTTTAATTGAAACACTTCGGCAAGTTGTGCATCTTCGCATCGAGGGCATCAAACCAATTTACGAGTACACAGCATTTTCACTATATTTTTCGAAATATCCATTTACAAAAATTCCTGATGAGAGATTTGCATCGCCTTTCCCTCGACCCACTCCTGCCCTTCCCTACTGATGCATGTCAAGACAGTTCAAGAGTCAACAAGCCAAAAACTTTCGACTTCTGCTAGCTTCGCCACAGCCACAGCCACCCAAGCCCAACCCTTTCGGGCGAAGGAGCCGCTTCAGGCCAGAAGACGATGTATGTTAAGAGTGCAAAGTGTGAGAAGGTCACACAGATGTTTGGGTCCTTGTCAAACAATGCAATTACTTTCTCAAGTTCTCAAACAACAGGCGCAGGACAATCAATTTCCTGCTCCTGTAGAACAAGTTAATTAATGTCAAGCGACTTCGGATTTGAGAATTTCATAAAAACCAACTTTAAGGAATAGCTCTTTCAGTCAGGGAGCCAATAAATACTAGCCAGAGCTTTTTCCATCGGCGGCAAGAAACCAAAAACCTCCGCAGCTGTACCCCACAGAACTCAAAGAGCTGATAGAGTCATTAAGTGAAATGTTTATGAAAAAATAAAAATTTTCCAAACATAACAAATGGAAAGAAGCTTTTAGAGATACTCGTAAGAGACATACAGAGTCTGTCATAAATGAAAAAGTTTAACCAGTAAACAGACGGCGGCAATCTAAAATAGAAACAATAATATCCGACTCCATTCGCCGCACCACATCCGCTCCCAAGGACACAATGGATGCCGCGCGGCCGTTTCCTTTCCCAAACTTGTTCTTCGCCCAGCCCGACACCCCTGCAGGCCCACTTCCGCTCATTCGTGGCACTCGCTTGACGGCTTTGTGCCCACACTTGATGTATTTCCGACGACGCTGTTGCCATTTTGTTTTTCCTTGTCTCTGCCTATGTGGCTGTCCCTGTCTCCGTATCCGTAATCAGTGTGTATATGTTCTGCTGCCCTCTGCTGCCCACTGCCTGCTGTCCATTGCCAAATGAAAAGCAATTCTGCTCTTCCACAAATTTGCCCAACAGGTAAAAAAAAAACATTTTATTTATTTTATTTGTTCCCTTGTTGCTCCACGCAGCATTTTCTAATTATAAACAGTTGGCGGCTTTAAGTGAAAAATTATGCCAAATTGTTTCTGACAGATTTCATTAACAGTTCGGAGTTTCGCATAATTGAAAATATCGTACCCCCAACCTCCAGCCCTCCCACCACAATCATCTGCAATGTTTTTACTTTTAACTTTTTCTCGTCTGCGACCCCAGGGGAAACAAATAAGGATGTGTGGCAGATTTTCTGCTCAGACATACATACTCGTATAAATTCATTTTTATTTTGAAAATGTTTAATATTTTGTGTATATGTACGTATTTATTGTGTTTCCTGCTCTCTTATATCAAAGTAAACAGTTCACTGGCAGTTATTGAGCGGAATAGGAGATTTTTCCTATCCTCAGCCATGGAGGTAAACTCCCTCAGCGTTGCCGAGCTGTGTCGACCGTGGATAAGAAGTTGCAGGGGCTTTTTAGCCTCTACATCTTCCAGCACTTCGGAGGCCTTCCTCACAAAGTCCGGATTGATGTTGTAGTCGAAGATGCGCAGGAACCGCAGCTCGCGGCACTGTCGAACCAGGTGCAGATACGCATAGGATATATCTATCGGCTGGAGGTACGTGATACGCAAAACCCTTAGGGATGGGAGCTCTCGCAGGAGCAGCACAAAATCGGGGCTGGAAAAGTTACAGTCGAGGGACTTCAGTGACTTTATTCTGACCAGGGACTCGGCTTCGTGAACAGCACATATCGGACCCTTGACACTGAGAGCTACCAAGGTGCTCCTTTGGCTGGCCAGGAAATCGAAGAGCCTTGACAAGGAGCTGCTTGCGTCTCGGCAGCAGTCCAATAGTTTCGAGTGCTTTGAGACACAGCGATTTATGCAGAAGCTCAGGTCCCGTATGTGGGGTAAATGCACCAGGACTTCTCTGAGTCTGGCACTGCTCACTTGATCGGTAAGACGTAGAGTCCGCAGATTTGTCATTGTTCTGCAGGAGTGTAACAGGCCCTTGGCTGTTAGATCCACATCAATGGAGAAGATTTCAAGCTGTTCAAGCTTCCTCACATCTCTCGTTTCAAGCTCTGGCGAAGAAGGGATGTTGAATATACAAAGAGTATTATTGCCTGTGTATGTATTTACTTACTGGGAGTACAGATGTGCAGTTGTCTAAGCTGGGAAGAGTCTTTGAGTACCCTGAGCACGCGCTTGCTCACTGAGTGTCGACCTCCCTGCCAGATTTTGACAAATTGCAGATTCCGCATACTTTTAATCAGTCTGCAGAAGTTCATGATTAGAATATATTGGCTGCGATTCGGGTATTGAGTGTCGAAGCAACTAACCAGATCATCACAATAGATACTAAGCTTTTTCACACTCATGGCCGACAGGGACAGCAGCCTCAGTTCCAAGGGCAGGACTTCTCCAACGATCGAAATACTCACATACTCCCGACGGGACCATGCTAGGAACACTCCCCGGAACCTCTGGCAGGCCTGGGCAAAACTTATTTGATCTTCCATACTTAAATATGGCAATGTCATCTCCAAGCAATAGTCGTTCAGTTGTAGTATTCCTGTTGCACCCATTCTGCTGAATGCAACTGCAGCGAGCAACATTCCCTGCAGTCATGCGAAAAAATAGTTCGCATTTGTATGAAAAAAGCGATTGCTATCACCTGATAAGATAAGAGTGAATCGCATCGAAACAAGATAGCAACAATAGCTTCGAAGGCCACAGTTCTTTATAGTCTGACTTATTTTAACACTTTTTAAACTGATAAGCTGCGCGTTTGAAACTTATCGACTGCGTACAGCAAAATGGACAGCGGAAATGAACAGCCAGTGCTGCACACGGAGATGCTCTTTCTGTGCAATGCAAACATCTGGCCAAAGTTATAATACCCTGCGAGAGGATAGAGATATAGGAAACTTATCAGCTTTCCGATATAATATCCGAGATGATGTCACCGCCATTTGTTTGGGGTTAGATGTGGTAGAGTATAAGCAGAAGGGACTTCATTCACCACTTCATCGTCGCTAATGTCACCATTAGATTTCCACGATATTTTCCATACTCGTACACTCTTGCATCATGTTCTGACTGGAATGGAAAAACTATTGGCGAAAGGTGTTACGAATTTATCCAATTGCACTGTTCACATATTTAAATGTTTAATATATACACTTAACGGGCATTTTAAAATTCTATAAATATTAAAAATATCAACAGGCACACGCACACACACAAACAGACACACACCTGGGCTTACATACATACATATACGTTCAAGCATCCATACATATGTGGGACACACACACATTAAGTTTTATTGGCATGGCACTACTACTGACCTACTTTATATATGTACATTAAACGGAGATGGCTCGGCACACACACTTGCACTGCATACACCTGCTGAAACCCCCACATACCCCTGTACATACATGGATACATATTCGTATAGGGAATACAAACACAAGAAAGGGGGTAAAGGTGGCAGGTGGCACAGCAGGCGCGCTTTGATCTATGGCCTGGCTGGCATTTTCCTTTTCCGCGAAGGTCTCTGCCAGCCACAGCTGTGAAACTTTTCAGCGGCCCACCAGCTCGAAGAGCAGAAAGCAATTTCTCCATTTTGCACGTTAATTAAATTAACAGCAAGGGCTCCTACAAAAACACCCAACCTCAGCAGAACAAGACTGAAAAGTGAAGACTGAAAAGAACCCTAGGCTAGAGATGTTTGTGCCATTAGCGATTCCAACCAAGAAACACTCCTCTAACATTATAGACCTACTGCCAAGTACTTAAACTGGAAAGCAGGATGCTAAATTACAATTTAAATCACATTTTACATAATTTTATCGATCTGCCCCCATGGTTTATCACGCAACCCCCATTAAAATGCAACCAAAGAAACAATTTTAAATAATTCAAAGCCGCAGACAATAAACTGTCGTACGTCCGGGGGCTAAGTATCCCATACATACATATGTATGTATGCATCTGATGGCATTTGGTAGTGGGTACGCCGACGTATCTTCCAGTCAAAGTGCGTGTATGGGGAAGAATTATCAAGTGTTGTTGACACAAACATCCACCCGCGCACAGACTCCTACTCGTAGATGAGATGTCCTACTGCAGGACGAGCCGGGAGCGTAAGCGCTGCAAAGGATGACGGCACTAACAGAGCTTATGTAAAGTGAAAGTGTGCGCGGGCGTGTCATAAGAACGGCACATCTCCATCCCCTCTCCCTCTCCCACTCCGACTCCGACTCCCACTCCACTCCTCGCTCAAACACTCTTGTTTGTGCGATTGTCTGTGCGACAATAAACGAAGATACATACATATGTATACATGTACGTACACACACATACATGCGAGAAATGCGTCCTGCAAGGCAAACGACCGGAAGGGCATACATAAATAAGTTTCCGGATTAAACGCACCGCCTTCGACGCCTCCGCCAACCGACTCGACTTCCTGTTGCGGACATCATCGCTAGTTGGTCCAATAGACACACACTGAAGCAACGCACAATCAACTAGAACATGGTCACTTTTACTGTTCTAATTAAGAATTTGGAATGAGTTGGAAATCACGAGCTGAAAATTAAATGTCCGAAATTTATTTGTACAACAGAATGGATTTAATAACATTAATTAAGCTACGAGTATGTGGAAGCAATTTTGATGACTGTTTGTTGGTGAACAACAAAGATGTTCCATTGGATATTTAATGGTTTATAAAATGTTGATTGTCCCATCTGATGGTTTTACGCAACTCTAAATAATTCCATAAACCATTTTATTCCACCATCCTGGGACATAAAGTATTTCGTGTCAGCGAAGTGTTTGGTCCGCTTGTCTGCTTGTTTGCTGTTTCGCCAAAAAGATATTTCATTTTTATTCGACTGCGGCCCTGCACGTGGCCCACACTCGCATTCAATATTCAAGAGTCTCAACAAATTACTTGAACCCTTTTCATAGCCCGTTGGATGCCCCTAAAGGCTTTAAGTCATTTGTCAAAAAGTGCAAAAACGGCTTACGAGACAGCAAAAGCAGAAACACAGTCGCGTCGCACACAAACAGAAGGCAAGGACTGCCGGCAAGGACATTTGAGACCCAACCCAATTTCACTTTCACACTTTCTTACTTATGCAAATGTGGGCTGCTCATTCGCTCAGCAGAAACAACAGGAACGGCTACAACATAAGAATAAAATATAATACAATATCAGAGGCTTTGCCTTGGGCCAGAGACTACCAAACACATTGCCTGTCATCTTTCTCGCACATTAGGCCTTCTTTATTCTTGGGTCGTTGACAGATTAAATTACACAAATTTTTGGCCAGGCGACAGGCGTTGACAGATCATTGAGGCAAAAACTACATCCATTCTTGTAGTTAAATAAAAATCAAATGCATGTCAGACATGGAAAACCAATTTGGCAGCTCTCTGGATATTGTGGCACAAGACCGAAATCTAAAATGAAACTAAAATAACTTTATGACGATGTCGATTCTTCCGTTCACTATCAAATCCATTGCCTCAAATATCCTTGCCCACGCAGCACTCGTTGCAGTCCTAGTAGCCACCCAACTGGAATTGCCGGCAGCCAGCACATAAAGAAGACAGGGCGAAGCCCCAACCCCAGCCCGACTCGGCCATCAGCGATGTACCAGAAACCAATACCTCGAACATTTCCCCTAATTGTATCACAGAGCCAGCGAATTTATGGCCCCAACTATTAAATGTTCCAGCTCCGGGTGGCCACAGCGCCACTTGTGGTTTATGGCGCAGCCTGGTGTTTTAAAAAAGCCGGCCAGGCCAGGATGGGACCGCAGTCCCTGGCCGCATTTGCCAAAGGTTAGTCGTCCGACCAGCTCAGCACATTATAAAAAATTCAATTATAAGCTTTTTATAATGGCATGGGTTGCGTTACACCTGGCCACGATTTTCATTTCTTTTTTTCCGGTTTCAGTTCACACTTTTTCATTGCCTGAAAGCAGTGTCCAGCTTTATCGCATGTCTTATCACGATACATAGAAGAAACTGAACTGATAAGCTGCTTGAACGAATCGCACACCGATTACCGATGCCACACATTTCAGTCGAATACTTATAATTGAAGAGTGAATACAATACTAGAAAAGCAGTCAAATAAATTGATTTAATTGAAAATAAAATGAGTGAAACGTCCATACCATATCTTAGTTTTTATTGCCTGTATTCGAGTATTCGAGCATATATAACTTAATTGTAAACTAAAGGGAGGGGTCTCAATTCCCCCCATTTGATATGCAGATCTTATTAATTTTCTAATCTGCTGCCATCATTTCAACACAGCCTTTATAGTCTGAAATGTTAAAAGGCGCCACGAGATCGATAGAACATTTCATACCATTTTTACCTGAGCTTATATCATACTGCAACAGACAAGGAAGCATTCTGGAAGTCCCAAAACGTGCTTGTGTACTGCCGCAAAGTCAAAGTCTATGTCATAGATTAAGTCAGACTATTTGTGAAGTGTATTTCCTAGACAATCTGCAGGGCTTTGGTAATCTGGAGATTCTTGAACTGAATGTTGAATGCTGAATACCCTGGTCGAGTTGCTAATACAAATAGACAGCATCAAATCACTGGCCACCAAAAAGTCGACGGGACTGCTTTCTATACGTGAAGCAAAGATCAATTCTGATGAGATCAATAAACTGGGCAAACTTCTATCCTAGCATTAACAACATTTACAGCTCCTTGCCTCGAGCACCCGACTGGATCATCCTTAAATATTGTTAAGTATTCGCAATAACTTAAAGGAGTCCCAGCCTAAAGAGGTCGATGGTTTTACAATCCTATGTGCATTTTTATCAAAGTTGCACAATTTGCGAGCGATTCGCACTGGTGGAAGCCTGGAGTGTGGTGCATTGAAGAACCTATTCCAAGGACTGGTATTCAGTAGTTCAGATCCAAACTCTTCAGGAATTGGACATAGCAAACATAGCTAAAATCAGTTCATTCAGATCTATGCGATTTAAATTTACCCGTCATGAGTAATATTGACTAATTGGCGCAGCTCAACGAACTGCGATCTCTAGACGTCTCTGATGCCAGCATTGCAATGCATTGAAGTTTCAATCGGAAAAACACGTGCAAGGAAACCGGAAACCCAGAAAGAGCCATTGCATTTTAACTATTTTTTTATTATCAATCTGGAGTTTATCTGCAGGCGTTAAAATGGGGCAAGGCAACGTTCACCGGGTCCGCTAGTTTTATATATGTATATATCTCAGGCAAATCATGCCGATTTAAAAATAGTTTTGTTTACATTTTTGAAGATCCTATAAACCGACAGGCATTCGACTCTAATAATTGAGAAGCTTCGTAGATTACCTTCAAAATTTAGTAAGAAATATATTTTTAATATTAAAAAATTTAATTCCACAAAAAAGGCGTGTTTACCATCAAATATATTATTTGTATGATAGGATTGAAATCTGCAGTATTTTTATTGAAATCTCCTTGGACCAGAACGACCCGGCCCGTCTGCAGGACAGCATGTTGAGGCACTACCCCAGTGCCACTCCAGTCCATTTCCGCATTCAGCTGCTGTCGGACAAAATGGTGGCCATGGTCGAGGCAACTGGCCACGAAACGGAGATTTTCCTGCCGCAGTTGCTCGATGGGCGCATCACCCTGAAAAACATAATTCGCAGTCGTCAGCCCAGACAGCATCAAAACCAGCTTCAGCCTTTTGTTAGCTACTCCGATTCCCGGTCCGTCCAAAACAAATTCAGACAGCGTCCGTGGCAATCCAAGCCGACAACGGCAACGGCGGGTCTGGCTCCTCCCACGTTGAATGGAGTTTTGTTTTCTGCAGGAGGTGAAAAGTTAGTAGATGGTCCAAAATTTTCCCTCAAGCTGATCTCCAACGGAAACGTGGTGCTCGTGGAGTCCAATGGGTGCGAGTCCGAGATATTCCTGCCACACATTTGCTGCGCCTACGTTTCCATGAAACGCGTTACAGCCAGCCAACTTAACCAGTGCTCGCGCTTGACGTCGAGACAGCCAACACGTCCAGAGAAGATGAATCCGAATCCCACCGCTGCGGTGGTCCAACCTAAGTCCAATCGGGCTTATTTGCTCAATTCCACGCGACTGTGCGGCAATGGAGAATCCAACAAGGAGAGCACTCTAGCAGTGACAGCGAAAGATGGAGTGGAGGCCACGTCGGGCAAGCCTAGGAGGAAAAAACCTCGCAAGAGTCATCAGAATACGGCAAAGGTAAAGGCAAAGGACAAGCACACGGGTGCTGGCGATCAGCCCGTAAAGGTGAAGGCCAGTGAGACCCTGCCTCTCCAGGAGTACTCTCAAGGCATATAGTGTCAAAATTATTATAAATTCTATTCAGAGTCGGTTGTTTTTTACGCCCTGGCCACGAATTCGAAATCATGTACCACAACACACACTCACCATCCAAATTCTCTATGAAGCTCTTGATGGGTCGTACCGCTGTCTTGGTTGAGCATCCGGGCATGGAGCCGCAGCTGTTTATGCCCGTCTTTCTCAACCATTACGTGGTCTTCAAGAGCATTGTGTTTGACGTCAACGAAGGAAATAAGTCACCCAGGCACGATGTTCCTGTCCGAAAGAAAAGAGCTTTGCCCTCGCGTGAGGCTAGCCAGCGCCTGAACTCCAAGAGCCAACGCCACAGCAGCCCCAGAAGTGAACAGTCATCTCACATCGAAGACAAAGAACGGAAGAGGAATGATCGAGTTCACTTTGAGGAGTCAGTTCTTCCAAAGGAGACTTTGAGAACAGTTGGCTCCGAGAGCCAGCCTAGTCGACAGTGCAGCATCGACCGACGGATGCTGAAAAAGCAGGGCATCACAGGCTCTCCACCACCATTTGATGTCATTCGCAGACTCTTTTACCAGGACAGAGGCGACTATGGAAGTCGGGGATCAGCCAGTAGCTCAGCCATGTTCAGTGTGTTGGACCCCGACCCCCTGCATAAGATGAATATGCTTCCCAGCGATCAGTCAAATATAAGCTTGGAAACTATTAATCACTGGGAAGTAGATGCATCTTCAGGGGATCTTCAGGGGACTCGTTCCTCAACTTAAGTTGTTTATATGTGAATAAAAATTACAAGTATAAAATTAACAAAACAGGAAACTCGATCTAATAAATTGTGTAGAGTATAGTGCCGAAGTACATTAATTACATCTTATACCTACCAGATATTTAATATTCTTTCATCATCACTAATGAATGCTTTAAAAGCTTTTCCATCGAAAACCAACTACAAAGCTTTCCAATTTCGCATCAGCTGCTTTTGTTTGAAAACTTTGAGATAGGTCACTTCCATAATATATACGGCAACTACGTATCTAATCTGGTAATGAATTTCACATTATTACTCATATTTTTGTGTTCAGACGTGGCCAAAGATTGCGCTTGAAAGCAAAGGTAATTTTTGGCTCAGTTCTGCAACGATCGCTTCGGAAATGAGTTCATCCAATATACTGGAGCTCTACGACGACTGTCTGAATTACATCTTCGATCTTTTGCCGACGCAAGATCGGATAAGTTTCGCACAAGTTTGCACTCGATTTCGTCATATATTTGTTAGTCAGTGTGGCAGCAGGTACCGCGAATATACGCTCGATGACAATAGTTCAAGGGAGCAGTTAATCGAGTTTTGTACGTGCCGCGAGGTGGTGCAAACATTTACAATAGATCTGGATCTTTTTGACAATACGATAAATACCATTGCTCCCACCACCCACTACGACATACTCCTCTCTGCATTGAAGGGAATGCATCAGCTGGAGTATTTGACTGTGAAGCAGGTCAAAATACTCGTCACAATCATTGATAGGCCCTTCGATCAAATTCTATCCGCAGTAAGACAGTTGGAAGGGCTGAGGAGATTGGAAATTCAAGCAATATTTGGTAAGAAGATTTCTTCGACTTTTTGTTCCTCAAAATATTCTTATCCACTTCTTCCTCTCCATGATATTCTAGACTGCAGCGTAGAACGTCTGAGCGAGCTACAGCATCTCGAAGAACTCCACTTGCACATACCACAGATTGCGTCCCCTACTCTGGTCAAATGCTGCAAGTCCAACTCCAGCCTTCGCAGTCTCCATCTCGGCTATGGCTGTGTACAGAGGAACTTGTGCGATATTGTTCCTCACTGCAAGAATCTGGAGGTGTTCAAGTTTGGCATGACAGCGGAATCCTCAGCCTACAGGGCCCTCGCGCGGCTCCCCAAACTGAGGCAGCTGACGCATTTTGGCATTAGAAGAGCGGACTCCTTTGAGCCTCTGCTCTCCTCCCTCGCTGACAGACCCCAACTACTACACCTAGACATTGATGGGGGAAGTATCAGTCTGGCAGAAACCCGCCAGCTGATTCGACTCCAAAGCTTAGTGCACTTGAAATGCTTCTGCTCCACGGTTCAGTGTGTGGCTATGCTCGCCCGACTCTCGCAACTGGAGGAGCTCTGTCTGTGGATGTCCAGTCCATTGGACGTGTCGGACGCCCTGCTGGGCATAGTTGCCAGTTGCGGGAGGTTGAAGTTGCTGAGGCTCGCAGTGGGAAATGTCAACAAGGATTTCTTCAGCAAGGCCACAGAATTGAGTCGGTCTAAAAAAATAGCGATGGGGGCAATCCAAGAGCCGCCTCTAAAACTAGAGATTCCAATGGCGTGTCAAAAGCAAACAATTGCTGCAGAGGTGACTAGTTCGTCCCTAAAGCACGTAAATGAAATTACTCAACATCCATTTATTTCCAGAACTTTTCAATCGAAAGAGAACTGAATACCTGGACTACATTTTAAACCGTTTTATGGCATCTCAAAAAATGTTTTACTGAACCGAACACTGCTGCACATGGATCAAATTAATACTCTAACTGTTGCCACACTTGGAAACTCATTTATTTAAATGCAAGCACTACACTATACACTATACACTATAAGAGATATAAAGTCAGATTTATTAATTGTCGTGCCGCCGTTTTCTTTTACTCTGATCTTCGCTCTATTTTTCGGTGATGGACGACGCGACTTCGTGACAATTTATATTCGTTTCTTAGAAATATCGATAGCTGGCTGATAAGTTTAGAGGTGGGAACATGTGACAGTTTGAAATTTAAAATTTGAATTCGAATCAGTAACTGAACCAGCCACACCAACTATTTACCAAATGAATAATAAAAAGCTGGCTCAAAAATAAATGTGTTCCAGAACCGAATTAAAAACGTCTTCCCAGGAAACTACTCGTCAGTACCCTTTGGTGTTAATATCAACACAAATTTCTAGATTTTCATACCCACGGACTAAATTCAAAATTTTTAAATCAAATTTCAATTCTGGCTGAGTAACTCAAAATGAATGCGATCTCATCCGTGTCGCATAGTCTTCTGCTGCAGACTTTTGGCAAGTCCTCAAGTCGTCGAAGTGCCGCCACAGGAAGACGCGGAAATGGTGGAGAGAGTTTATCGCCATTCGCCTGCCTTAAACGGGCCACGCCCACGGAGTTAGACAACCTGGAGCAGGACTACCAGCTGGATTCATCGTCGAAGAAGATGAATCTGGCCACTGAGGTATATCGAAATGCGGTTGGCACGCCTCAGTCGTTTCAGGCAGTGAAAAAGGCTGAAATCATTATTGCGTGCGATGATTTCCTGTCGAGGGAACCGCTTCCGCCACTGGGGAATCCAGAGTTCCTACATGCAGCCACTGAACTGGTCCTCGGAAAGTCTTCTCCAGCACAAGCACAGGGTCGAGTAAGTAACCCGTTTCTTCACTGCAGAAAGGAAACAGACGGAACGAATTCTACAGTGTTTGACTTTTTCGTCAGGTGGTTGGCATCCAGACGAAAAACAGCATCGATGCCCTGGCTCTGGCCGCACAGTTTCTGCGCAAGAAGACGACGCGGGACGTTTGTCTGCTCGCCCGTCCCTGCAACCCCATCTACTGGAAGCTATTCAAGGCGGCGGGCTTCAATTGCCAAAGATATCAGTACTACAGCGATACGAAAGGGGAGCTGAACATCTACGGACTGGTGGCCGATCTGATGACAGCGCCGGACGAGGCAGTGGTCGTCTTGGATGCATGTGCGCAGCATCCCACCGGCCTGGATCCCAGTGCGGATGAATGGAAGCTGCTTCTCCATATTGTCAAGTGCAAGAAAATGCTGCCCCTGATCCACTTGGAGGCTCCGGGCCTGGCCAGTGGCGATCCCAATGAGGATGCTTGGCCAGTGCGATACTTTGCCGACTGCGGCATCGATTTGCTATGTGCGCAGTCTTTTGTCAAGAACTTTGGTCTCTACAGTAAGAAACCCAAGTGTCTAGCTAAATGAAATTATTCACTGTTTTCACCCCCAGACGAGACAGTTGGCCAACTGATGGTGGTGCCTGCAAATGCCTCCCAATTGAGTGCGGTTCGGGGACAATTCGAGTCGATGCTGCTGGACACCAATGCCGAGTGCTCGTCGGTGCATGCTAGCCGAATCGTAGCCAAGATTCTTAACGATGACAAAATCCGCTCAGATTGGTAACATTTACAATTATTAAATTGACTTGTATTTTTTTAGGTATATATACTTTCCGTTTGCAGGGGCCAAACCCTAAAGGAAATGCACCAAAGGGTCTTTCAAGTGCGTACCGATCTGAGCAAGAAACTAGCAGAACTCAAGACCCCCGGTCACTGGCAGAACCTGGTGGAACAGAGCGGACATCATCTGTACTCGAATCTAAGCCGCTCCCAGATCCGGCAGCTGAGGGACAGACACATCTATGTCCCGAACTCCGGGCGCATGAACCTCACTTCCGTGCAGCCATCCAGTCTGGATAGCTTAGCTGCCGGCATCAATGATGTGGTGCAAGCCACTAAGGGCAACATCTCCTCGGATAACTACTTTATAGCCGATAATTTCAACACAATGCATCAATACTTTAACTCTATCTGAAGTTTGTGCTTGCTAAATCCGAAACGGGGCCTGCTTCTAAAACTTAAATAAACAAATAAGTTGGCAGGAGACATGCACATACATTTGGGGTCGTTCTAGCTAAAGCTTTAAGTAATTGGCCAGGCGCAGTCCAACTATCTAATCAACTTGAGAAGCTCCTTTGTTGGCAACAAATTCCTGCTGCTCAAAAGCACTCAAGTCGTGTGTCGAAAATGTCGCATACTCGAGAGGTGAACGCAGCACGATATGAGTTTCCCTGGTTCCCCTTTTGGGAGAATGATGAAAAATGCACTTTGTAATTCTCGTTCCTCGTCAGCATCGCGTACATGCAACGTCGCCCGTCACTTATAAATGTCACATTAGAGTCTGAGTTGCTGAGGCTCCTGGCTCCTGGCTACTGGTTCCTGACTTTTTATGTTTCCGCTTTAGACCAGGGCTCAGAGGAGCCCAGCCCAGCCAGGTCTGGGACGTGGCCATGGCCATATTTCTACTCTCAGTTGCTCTAATATGAATTTATATTCTTGTCACACACTCATTATTCGTGAGTTCCCGTGTTTGCCAGCGGACAGGCTTGGAACTTGACAACTCCCAAATAAAGTGGATTATATGACAATCTCCATTATAATTTTTACTGATTTGATTGAAAGATCCTGTTTCTGTTTTGTTTTCTTCAAGTTGTATATACTACCTATTAAATCAGAGCACATCTTCGATTCTCACAAAGTATTATTCAACAGTTGCTTTGTAATAATAAATATAGCCTTTCAGAGTTCGCACAGTGGAACCCTTTTGGCTCTCATCGCTCCGTGTCTGACAGAGCATTTAACAAGAGCGAGGCCATAAATCTTTTGGGCAGCATTCAGCACCTATAGACTGTGCCAAAATAGATTGAAATACATTTTTGCTTTTATGCTCTGGGGGTTTTTTATTTCGCTGTGACTTCATTGAGAATTTAAGTCGGCTCCAAGGGGGATTTGGCGGCATCAGAAGTCCTTGTCTGGCCTGCAATTTGTCAGCATGGCGATAAGCTGTTGGAAAGGGACTGGACTCCGACTCCGACTCCCAGAAGGAGTCGTACTTGAAGTCCCAGCCACTGTCAGGGTCATATGGTGCTTAAAGCGCCATAATGACCGCCATTGTAGGGGTTTTGTGACCCCCTCAGCATGGGCATTCCCTTCCCATACCCACGTCCAGTGATTGACTGAGCAAACGTTTCCATTCTATCCATTCTCCCATTGTAAGCGTTTCAATTCAATTGATATCCAACAGCGAATGCGATAAAATTGGAGGGTGAACGAGACAGCAGCCTTCACAATATACAGATTTACGTATTGTTTTCTTATACACACTCGTTTGTACACAGTCGTATGTAGCTTGGCCTATATTTACTTTGTGTATGGTATTGTGCCGAGTGCGTAAAGATTTATCATTGATTGCACTTGTACGAGCGCCTTGAGCTTGAGGCCATCAACTTTACACTTGAAGTGTCCCAGGCAAACGCTTTCCCAACCCTCTCTTCCCGGTGCCTCACCCAGATCTTTTCCTTTCCCAACCGCTTGGGCCAGTTCAATGAACTGTGAAGCGAAAATTATTTTGGGGTCTGACTTTAAAATTAAGCAGATTGAATGCCATTCCATTGGGGGGGGAATTTTTGGGGTAATCAGTTGGCCCGAAACAAACAAATCAATGACAGTCGTTTGATTAATTTCCTGCGAGATTATATGCAAATAAAACAACAAAAACACACATCTAAATCTGTTCTTTTACTGGTATGAATTTCGGGACATTCCTATCAAAACAATGAAGATTTTTATATGACTTTCAATCCAATGAACATTTTGCTAAATATGTACCTCTAGTCCCTGAGCATCGTTGAGAATTTTATCTACTTGTATGAGTATGTAGACCGTGCACCATAATAAAACCGAATACTAACAATTTAGTTTGCATGCCCCAGGCCAGATCCCCTGTCTGCTCTTCGGAGTCCTGGGCTGTTACCGCTTAACTGCTCGTTTCGACGTCTTGCAGCACGCTCGCTTTGGGTAATCTTTTCACCGCATTTTTGTGGCCTCACATGCGGCAGTTGGCAGAGGCCCCTGGCAGCCTGCAGCCTGCAACCTGCAACGTGCAACCGCACACCAACATGCCAATTGTGGCCAAAGCTGGCAGTCCGGGGGCGGGAGATGTGAGATGATAAAAAGTTGAGGCTGCACCTCCAGCAAAGGGCGTGGCAACTGCATGCCAACCTATTTGCATGGCAGTTGTTGTCTTGTCTTGTCTTGTCTTGTGGCTTGTTGCATATTTTAGCAGTCTCCGTTTCATCCGCTCGTTATGGCCCCCTCCCTACGCCCGACTTGATTGCCAACAATAATTTTTCCGGCTGTCATTTTATGCTGGCACTTTTCCACTTGAGCCGGAGCTCGTTTTATGTCGGTTGATATATGTACGAGGATAACAAAACTTGCCTCTCTGGCATCCCCATCCCCATTAACCTTGGAGCTTGTCATGAATCTTTAATATGTGTGATTTGCGTTATTATTTTTTGTTTGCTTTTGGAATGTCTAATTAACATCACACGTTAAACAAATTCATACAATTTCATGTGCCAGACAAGGACAATGGGAAGCGGAACCCTTTTGATCCCACCTGGGGACGACAGCAGCAAGGGCCCAACATTATCGTTTCTTTTTATGGGTAGGGCTATGAAATGTTGTAGGTATGCATAAATATTCGCACATATTCAAATTCATGCACACAGGTTGGTTGCTGGAGTGTGCAGAGCGGTTACGGGGGCAGGACACCCTTCTATGTCGACGTCGGCGTCGACCCGGCCGGCATCTAATGGTTTTATGCCTTTATGGCAGAAACCAATTTATTTGCACATCCTGTTCCTGTTCCTTGGCAAACGGAGGCTGCCTTTAAAGTCAAATCACAAGCAAGAAAATAATATGATTTTACGTTAAAGCAGCTTAACCTTTGGAATATTCATCGAGAGTTTTCAATTATGTTGGAACAACATCCTTAAATTTAACTTAAGCTTCTTGCTCGAGTATTTGGGTCCTTTCGGATCCCTCCAGTTGGAATTCACTGTCTGTTATTATAATGGAAATCAAATCTTGTCGAGGTTAACCACATTGCAATGCGCAAGCCAGCTGGCAGGAGTTTGGTGTCTGGGGGTCCAACGTGCCCGAACGGGGTCCATTAATCAAACACCTCAATCACAGCCTACCTGTCCGCTCTTTGGCTGTACTCAAAATTCAATTTCGAAACCATAACGATGGTGCGGGGATGAAGGCGACGTTGATGACCCCATTAGCTTCAAGTTGCGTTTGCTCTGATTCGACCCTTACTCGACCATTTTCCACTCAGTTGCAGTTGCAGTTGCCCAGCTCCTGGTTCTTGGTGCTGCAGTTACCGTTGCAAGCCACACACTTTAGCCTACTTAACGAGTTTGTTAGCCATAAATTCCGTTGGCAAACAATAAGGATATTGGATGTCAACGTCGTCTTGTCTTTGCCTGTCGCTGGCCCAGGCCCAGGCCCCGTAATGTAATTTCCATTGCCCGAGCACGGAATTCCCTCATTCTCTCATCGCCTGCCCACCCTCTCGCCGCTTCGGATTCCTGCATTCCGGCATTTTCATATTTTCCTCGCTTTCCATTTGGGTTGGGAGCACGTATTCTATTCACTTCTAGCTTGTTGTTCCCCATTTTGCAGGGCCAAAACTAAATTGCTGTTCAACTGCAGGCCATTAAAGTGGAATTAAGAATGCAGTTTCAGGTAACTGGCGAGTGGAAATTGTGTGGCAAGCATTTTATAACATTTTAATTAATTGCTTTTGATCTGCTTAGAAAAATAAATTGGGAAACGAAACCAGTGGCCAGTGGCCAGTGGCAATAAACGCCATAAACGCCTTGTCACCGATCATCTTGTACTGCGTGCGGAATAAAAAAAAACAATGTGCCATTTGGGCACAAAACAAGAGCAACCGAAGACCCCCTCAATTTTCCAGATACTCGTAACTCATAAGCTTTACAGCTTCCTGTAGGTCATGTGTCCCCAATCCGAACTTCCTACACCGCACATGCAAATAAACCAAAAGAATGGGGCACCATTTCGTTTGCGTTTTTTGTATGCCCACCCAAGGATTGGGGTCCTGATTGGGTCGGGTCATAGCTCAATATATACATGCATACGTATGTATGTACGGGTATGGGTATGGGTATGGGTTTTATATCGCTTATCGCCAGGACGGAAGGAAGCCAGACCCACAGCAGGAAATAAATTCAGGCGGTTGCAGGAAATTATTTATATTATATTTTTTATGCGAACTGTTTTTTCATCCATTCTTCTTTTTTGTTTACTTGCAAAATATTTAATATGCATTTTAATCAAAATAAAAGAAGAGAAATAAACCTGGCGATATTAAACCCTACACGGAGGTCGAGGGCAGGCCCAAATATAAATTATAATTTCCGCTGGCGGCCACAGGACACAACATATCCTTCTTAGCCGTAGCCAGGAGCACAGGCAATGACATAAAGCAGAGTCCCGACAACATCTGCGTGAAGTGCGTTCAATTATTCTCCTCTTTCGCTGGATGTTTCCTGAGTGCTCCTCCTCGCCCCCAGCTCCATCTCAAAATCTCCATGGAGCAGATAAACTTTCATCAAGTCAACGAAGAAACGAAGGAAGAACGAAAAACGAAGGACCCAGACAAACAACAAGAAAACAATTTGTTTTTTTGGCTTTTTATTCGGAATTTTAGGGAAAATGTTATTGCCACTAAAGGAAAGTCGTCTGGACTTAGGTCTGCACTCCATTCCATACCCTAAAGCGTAATAAAATTGTTACAAATGTTTTGCAACTACCAAAAAAGCATTTAGTTCGAAGGGAATGTCAGTTGAGTGGGAGGGAATTAATCACCATTGGATGATTTTGCACTCTAAAAAAGATTTAAATCTATTCTTGAGTCCATAGTAATTGCATTCACTTATATCTAGTATATCTAGTATATCTAGTATATCTAGAATGCAGCTTGGAGCCAAGCGTGTACATATGTGCCATTGAAACCGGACGTACTCGCATGCTTCATTTGAATTTCTTCAGTCTAAGTCTGCAAAGAATACTCGACTACTCTTACATTGTACCCGTGGTACAAGTTAGCATAAAAAGATAATTTGGAGTCTGACTTAAGCGAGCGGAAAACGGAAAACGGAAAGAGGAAAGAGGAAAAGAGAAGGCAAATGGAAAGTGCTGTGCCTCAAATCAGCAAATGGAAGTATATCGAACGCGCAAATGGAGGCCAAGCCAAAGCCAAAGGCAAAGGCAAAAGCAAAATATTCATGATAATGCAAAGGACGCAGCCAGATGCCGGAAAATGCCACGCAAAAACCCAGCGGAAAATTTAAGAAAATTCTCCACGACAGCCTTTGTGTGTCCTTCGTCCTGTGTCGTGTGTCGTGTGTGCGTGGCCCAGAAGAAAAAGGATTAAATCAATGTTGTGGAACAAATTGTGTTTTGTGTGTGTGTGTGTGTGTGTGTGTGTGTGGCAGAAATGAAGGTAATGCAGCCGAGCCGCATTTGATATCCTCGTTTCTTCCAGCGATTTTGCCCTGCCACCAGCAAGCCAAAGGCATAACGAGGTGCCCGGATGTGAACGTGGATGTGGATGTGGATGTGGATATGTGTGTACCCCTGCTCAGATCCCAGACATGACCACACACGATGTCCCATTTGATTTTGATGGCGTGAAGCTCACACGAGCGTTAATAATCTGAACACAGCACGAGAACGGAGCCAGCACTCTGATGGATGGTATGGTATGGTATTGCACAGGCACAGCCAAGCATAGAAATTAACTGCTTAAATTTACAAAATCACAATAGTGTTTGAGTTGAAGCCAAGCCCAGCTTTCCAATTTGAAAATTTCTTTTTTATTATGGATTGTGTAAACGCTTTGTTTCCGAATTCGAATCGAGGTCTTGTTGCATATATGTACAGTAGCGGACAGGGAAATGTGGACACTGTTCTTAACTAATTTTAAACCGATCTGGCTAATTGGTTAATATGAAAACCTAAGTTTTCGGCGCTATTAATGCAAAATATGGCCTGACTTTGAACTTGTGGGACAAAATAATTTTAAACTGCAATGCAAATAATTCCAAAACACAAAACAATGCATAGAGCTGAAAACCTTAACCATTGTCCTACATTGAAAGATCAGTTAGTTGGTTAGCAGGAAAAACTTGCCGCTTCTATTTCAATGCTACTAAGTCCTTATCGCTTTCACTTTTTGGAATCAGATATGAGCAGCTCGTGCACCTCAAACAGGGAACGTCGCACCTGTATGAGAACATGAGTCAAGTTGGGCACGGAGCAGATTGCTTTTCTCGCTCCCAATGGTCAACCATCTGAGCCAGGCAACCTGCTCCTCCTGACATATGACTCGTGCACCTGGGGGAGGGTTGGTTGGGAATTGTTGCCACCCATCAGTGCGATCCGCGCCCACTCTGGGCGTTGTCGATGAGTACGCGATGGAAAAGTCGGGGGCACGGCCAAGGCTTGTTTGTTATTGGCATCGTTTCACAAGTGGAGACCGACACTATCATTTTTCGGTGGCTACATGTGCCCATATAGACATTGACCTACTACAATTCGCTGCATATTCTTTGGCACATCCCTTTTGCAGGATGCTCCTAAGATTTTCAGTAATCCTACAGCAGGCGAAACGAGGAGAGGAATTTTTTAGGGCACTACAAAAAAGCCACTCTTATGCGAGTACTAATAATTATTATTAATAATAATAATAATAATCAGTGCAAAAACCCTGGGCCACACATGATTATTTTCATACATTTTTTCGGGCATTTAATTGATGTGATGACAGGTAGTGGTAGTGCACTTGAAAGAAGCACTGCAAATGGGGGCGGTACATTCGCTGCTCGTTTCTGGGCATAGAGGCAACCCAAAGCCTGTGGGGACAGAACCAGGCATGTATGGATTCTAATATTTCCTGATATTTTTTTCTATTGAGCAATCAGAAAAATAGGGGACGATGCTTGTGTCATGACATGGACAAAGCTATTGAGTGAACAGTAGTTATCTGATTATTCAATTCCCACAACTCCCATAAGCTCAAAGATTGGTATACAGATAAATAAATCAGCACACGACATCTCCCTCCGTCATTCAACATTTCTTTACGAGTACCACCTGAAAAAAGTCCATTATAATCATTAACCAGGCGGACATACACTTCACCTCAGCTCTGCTCCGATTGCGGCGCGATAAGATAAACAAAAGAAAAGAATGCCCCACAAGTAACGTAGCACAAGGTTAGCCCTTGGCGGCGATAAGTAATGGGAAAGTCACTGCCATGGGGACGGGACTGCCTTGCTCGAGCCGGGGGAGTGGGCCATTGGGGCCATTGGAACAATGAGCAAAAGTAGGCACTGGAAAACGTGCGGCACGTGAGCAAATAGTCCAATGGCAGTGGGTAAATAAATTGCTTCGTGAATGCCATAAACGATAACTGGCGGCCTTTGATAAGATGCTGCTTATCAATGTCCAACCAACAATAAAATACAACCAAAGGACACGACACGTGGCCGATGGCAGTGCGTGATTTCCGAGTTTTATGCCCCATAAAAACTAAATTTAAATGTGCTTTAAGAACGCCTTTTTTTCATTTTCGTGCAGCCAAAACAACATTGATATTAAGTACTTGTATTATTGTATTAGTATTATAGTATTATTGGTTATAAATTAAGAAATTCGTGATATTTCGAACTCATTTCTCTCAAAGAATTGAGTGAACTTTCGTAGCTCTCAGATCCCCAGCACTCCGTTCACCTGCAGATCATCCAGTGGCAGGTCCTTGACAACCGCCGTGAAATCTTCCACTGCGCAGGCATAGGAGTAACCTTTCTTCAGATCCTCCTTGGTCCAACTGACCCAAGTCAATTGCTGGCCAATGTCCTCGCAAATGATGTATTCCTGTTCGATTTGCTCGAGATCAGCATGCGGGTTGTTCACGCCGATCAAGACAATGCCCTTCCTGCTCTCCCGATCGATAATCACTCGGAAGTACAACTTTGGAACGGGGATCAATCCATTGTTGTTCTCGTCGAAGTTCAGATAGAGCTCCCGCTCAACGCCTGCGACATCGGGCAAGGTGGAAACACCCCAAGTGCCTGTGTAGCAATCCACTGTGATGTTTTGATCGGCCACAAACTTCCTCACACTGTCCTCGATGCGCTCCCAGTTCCCGGCATTGAAGGTTTGCCACTGAGGGGCCACGTTCACGAAAAGGAAGCTGGCCATCTGAGCGGCCCCAAAGACGAAGTCCGTCTTGGCCGAGAGGTGTCCGCGGGCCAGGTACACATTCCCGCTGATGTTGAAGTATGGCGAGGCATCCTGGCCCAGGATCTCACTGACAGTGATGTTCTGCTGCACTTGGGTGTACATCTGGTTGACGTTCTTGCCGTCGTAAAAGTCGCCCGTAACAAAGCTGGGTCTTGCCACGGACCGCTGGTACTGCGCACTGCCCGGATGGAGCACGTGATGGACATAGCGAGTCACCTCGGCCAGCTCATCGTGGCAGACATCATAGGTTTGAAGGAAATCGTCATCAGAGGACAGCTGGAAGCCCACTTCCAGCAGATCTGTGCCTCCGTTGCACTGACGAGTGGTTCGCCGAGCAGTATAACTCGGCCAGGAGGGGCAGACAAAGTCCTGCAGCTGATACAGACTGCCCAGAAGCAGGAAGCTCTGCTCCTGCCAGCACGTGACCGTCAAGCGACTGTATCCCACGAATGGTGCCACGAAGTTCTTGAGGCAGTGCAGCTCCAACGCCTCACCATGTTTGAGCTGGGCTAAGCCCTCCAAGTTTGGCTCCAGATAGCGGGCCTCACCCAACTTGTTGCGAATCACGAAGAGCGGAGCCGGATCCTTGAGGTCCCCGTTCACACGAAAGCTGCAGAGCTCATCTGCCAGAGACTGCTCACTGAGACCCAGAATACCCGTGGTGTGCAGCTGATCCAGGGGCAAATCCTTGACCACATTGGTAAGGTCCTCCACTGCGCAGGCGTAGGAGTAGCCCTGCAGGAGATCAGCCTTCTGCCAGTCCAGCCAGTCCAACTGCGCACCCACATCCTCGCAGATTACATAGTCCTGAAGGGTTTCGTCCAAGGAGATGTGCGGATTGTTGACCACCACCAGGGCGATTCCACGCCGACTCTCCTGATCGATGACTATGCGATAGAGTATTTTGGGAACTTGGAGTTGCTTTGTGTCAGCATTCAGATAGAGATCCGTTTGAGTCCCCTCCACGTTTGGCAAGGTAGAGATCCCCCAACTGCCGGCAAACACGCTCACATTGAGGGATCGATCCGCCACAAACTGACGCAGACTAGACTCCACCGCCAGCCAGTTGCCAATGCTGGCACTCCTCCACTGCGGGACAGCATTCACGTAGAAGTGGGTGGCTCTCTGGGCTGATCCGTGCACGAAGTCGTGTCTAGCTGCCAGTTGTCCTCGCGTCAGATAGAGATCGCGAGAGCTGTCAAAGTACTGGCTGGCATCCAGCCCCAGGGCGTCACTAAACGCCTCCAGCTGATTGGTCTGACCGTACAGAAGGTTCACGTCCTTTCCGGTGGCGTAAAAGTCCCCTCTCAGATAGCCCGGTTGGGCGACGCCCCGTTGGTAGGCCACGTTCGCTGGTGTCAGCTCGTACCTCGCATATCGAGTGATCTGTGCGTCTGCATCGTAACAGATCTCCAGCTGGGGAAGCACACCAGCGGCCACATCGAACCCGATCTGTACTAGATCTGTTCCTCCCTCGCAGGCCTCTCCCGATCGCTGCGCCTCGTATGTGGGCCAGCTTTGGCAAACGAAACCTCGAATGTTCAACTTCTGATCCTCTGCCTCGTACATCTGATCACCTACACAGCGAGCCGTGACAGCCGTGTATCGATTCAAGGGGCTGGCCAGGGCTCCTGTACAGTGCAAATCAATGGAGGATCCTTCGTCCACCGCGTACACACCGCGTTCATCGGGCAGGAGCCAGCTAAGAGCTCCCTGGGGTGTCAGCAATGGAGCAGGGTCCTTAAGACCGCCATTTATGTTGAACTGGCATTGGGGGGGCGTGGGAGTGGGAGTGGTGCTGGAGGTTACAGGTGGGGAAGATGTTGTGGGAATGGCTGTGGTTGATGCAGGTTCTGAGGTGGGAGATACTGTAGTTGATGCAGGTTCTGTGGTAGGAGGTACTGTGGTTGATGCGGGTTCTGTGGAGGGAGATACTGTAGTTGATGCAGGTTCTGTGGTGGGAATGGCTGTAGTTGAGTCTGTTTCTGTGGTGGGAGATACTGTAGTTGATGCAGGTTCTGAGGTGGGAGATACTGTAGTTGAGCTAGGAAGATCAGTTGTAGAAGAAACTGGTGGTTCTGTTGTTGACGAAGCAGCAGGGGTTGAGAGATCAGTGGTTGAACTTGGTAGATCTGTAGTTGAATCTGGCGGGGTTGTGCTTCCATTATCTTCCGTTGTTGTAGAAGGGGCAACCGTCGTCAGGTCGTCCAGGCCCAGGACACCGTTCGTTTGAAGATCGCCCAGCGGGAGGTCCTTGACCACGTTCGTGAAATCCTCAACAGTGCAAGCGTACGAGTAGCCCTCGTGCAGATCTTCCTTGTACCAGGACACCCAGCTCAGCTGATGCCCAATATCCTCACACAGGACATAGTCGCTTTCTATTTTGTCCAGACTGGCATACGGATTGTTAACTCCGACGAGGACAATGCCCTCGCGACTCTCCCGGTCGATGATGACACGGAAGTACAGCATTGGCACGGGGATCAAGCCGTTGTTGTTCTCATCGAAGTCCAGATAGAGCTCCTTTTCGATGCCGTCCACATCTGGCAGTGTGGATACTCCCCACGTGCCCGTATAACAGTCCGTGGTAATATTGCGATCGGCCACAAACTTGCGGACACTCGACTCCACCCGCTCCCAGTTTCCTCCGTTAAAGCTCTGCCACTGGGGAGCGACATTGATGAAGAGAAAAGTGGATCTCTGAGGGGCTGCAAATATGTGGTCCGTCTTGGCAGTCATGTGGCCCCGGGCCAGGATGCGATCCTCAGTATAGTTGAAGTAGTGCGAGGCATCGAGGCCCAGGATTTCGCTTATGGTAATGTTCTGCTGCACCTGAGTATACTTCGTGTTCACATCACGTCCTCCGTAAAAGTCCAGCTCGATAAAGCTTGGTCGGCCGACTCCATGCTGATAGTCGTAGCTGGAGGGATATAGCACATGATGCACATAGCGCGTGACTTCCGACTCTTCGTCGTGACAAACATCGTAGGTCTGCAAAAAGCCACCATCCTCCAGCGCGAACCCCACTTGTACCAGATCTGTGCCTCCGTTGCACTCCCTGCCGGTGCGAAGGGCGGTGAAAGTGGGCCAGTCAGCGCAGGTGAAGTTTATAAACGGATAGATGAGTCCATCCACCAGGAAGTATTTCTGCTGCAGACACTGGGCCGTCACCTGAGAGCGGTTCTCAAAGGGAGCCGCGAAACCCGCGCCCGGACAAAACATATCCAGGAGTTCCCCATTGACTAAACGCACGGCATCCGTGGGATCAGGAACGATCAATTCGAAAGAGCTATGACGCGAAAAGAGCGGCACTGGATCATTCAGATCACCATTGACCTTAAATTCGCATTCTCCCTTAACTGTCACGCCCTCATCGCCCTCGACGTAGGGTTGTGGAAGTATTCTTGACAAACGCGCGGATACATATCCAGGGCTGGCGGCGAGCAGCGCAAGGACAACAATCGCGCAGAGACACAACCTCATCGCGAAGCTTTAGAGACTGTTATGACAAGCCCCGAGCTGCTAAAGTACCTTCTTAAATAACCTTCTTATCGGTTAGATAATGGGGCTTTTATAGCCCCTGATTGTGAGAAAGCATAAATGCGAGTATGGCCAAAATATTGTTGCAATCGATGTGAAGAGCCAAAACCAAATTCGATCAATGATATTTCGAAGGAAACTCCAACCACTTGGAAGAGCCACTTGAGCCGACAAGCTGATGGCATCTATCGCAATAATTTTTAAACGTAATAATCAGTGTTAAATACTTATTTTTCAGAGGGATCCACATTGATATATGTATGTGTGAAGTTCTGATTTTCAAAGGTCTCAGGTTCTTAAAATGTTGCTTTTATTATGAAACAATAAAATAAAAAGTTTTGGCCCGATTGGAATACGTTAGAGGTGCAGGCCTGAGGTTAAAGTTAAAAAATACAATATTTTGGCCATGTTTGTATGGCAGCTGTACCTTATATCGCGCTGATCGGATTGATTTTATATATGATTTAGAATTTGAAAATTTCAGCTCAATTGGTTAATATTTATGCCCACAAAAAATAGGCTAAAAACGAAATTTGTTAACCCAGCGACAAAAAACAGCCGCTTTCTGATATTTCATGCATTTGACTAGTCGGTGGTTTTCGCAAATGCTATCCTATTCGTCTAATTTTTCTACCTTGTTGTCGCTAGTTCAATTTGAAACGGAGGCATATACTAAGTTTTTTATTTGATAGTCATATACTCAAAAAAACAATATTTTTAGTATTACTATTTTTTTAGTATTTATTATTGACCCAACGGAAAAAAAATTAAATTAAAATATAACGAGAAGGAACGTGTGAGTCGCTATATAGTCAGTAGTAGTCAGTCAGTATATAAATTTGTTCACTTAGGATTTATGTAGAATTTAAAAAAATTGTTTCACTCACTCTGAAACCAATTTATACATGTGTTTAACAACTGCGTTATCTTGGGTTTATTTCTTGGGTAATGATTCCTGACCAGACTAAAACCTTATCAAAAACACCCATATAATTGGCCATAAAATTAAATAAGTTTCTTACAATTCCTTTTCATATCGCAATAGGCTGAGCAAAAAGATATTTGCAAAGCCTACAAGTTTCAGAGTTGAGCGCGATAATTTCTGGTCATCATTATTAATAGCATATACATTCTTCTCTCAAGTGTAAGCAATTCCCTTCCCATTAGGTTGAATTCTTTGTTCTTTGGCATTTTCAGTTAATTATTCCCACACAAAAGTCTCTGTCTAACTGATTGATTGTTATCCTATTAGTTATCAATATTATTCAAATTAATTAACTTATTTCAGGAAAAGAAACATTTGTTATTGCAGGCAAATATTTGTCTAAAGAGTCAAAGACGAATGAAATAAAATACGCTCAATCAAAATCATCGACAGGCAGACAGGGCCCCATTCATTCGAATATTGAGAAAATCAAATGAATGGGGGTCAACTGATGGCCACACACTCTCACCCAGAGGAGTCACAGGGAGGGGCCCAGCCAGACGTGGCCACTGAGTAATTTGCAGCACTGTTCGTGTGTGTGAATTTTGGCAATTGAATGATCCGTCCTCCTCCCATTCCACTAGGGTCTGTGGGTCTGTGTGCTGTGGCACACAAAAAGCTGCATGTAAAACAAATCATTAGGTAATTGAATTTGGATAGGAAAACACACAATTTATTCGCATTCGCAGCTGTCAAGCTGCTTCTCGCAGAAGGCCTGTCAATGAAATGCAATAAATGTGTAGCCAAGTGCTGCGCATGTCATTCAAATTGGATGGCAATGCTTTTATGAAATTTTTCACATAAGAGAAAAAAAAGAGATCCTAAGAAAACGTTCAAATGTGTTTAAGACTTTCCCTCAAATACATAATTCTATCAAGTAACAGAAATTATTAGTTACCCTATAAGTATAGAAATTATGTTGGAATCATTACCGCCCGTAGAATGGAAACATTGGTGTAGAGTGGAAAGAGCGACTGCCTCCATATCCTTAGCATTTTAATTGAAATGGGATATACTTATAATATTGTTCCAAACAACTCTGCTTAAAATGATCAACGCCATTTATCAAGTGCCATTAGCATTAGCCATATGTCCAGTGGCAATTTCGTGTAAATGTCATAATTTGAAATATGCAAATTCGCAACGTTTTTTTGTTGCTGGCAAATACAAGGGAAGGAACTCGCATTAATCAATGATAATTCGGTGCTAGTTGCTATGTGCTATTTTTGGCGCTTGGACGTGACAATTCGGGCATAAATCCTGATTTCCAATAATTTATGGCAACTAATGGCAAACACATGGCGTATGCGCAATGTTCGATGCACCTGCCTTGCAGCTGAAATCGCAATTAAAGTGCGAGCGGCACATCTGGCAATGTTAATTATAATTTTCCATTTACACCTCTTTTCAATTTCCTTCGACACCCTTGACTGCATCTCTGTGGGAGCTCTGGCTCGGCTCAATTAAAAGTGCATTAAGCCACGCTCAGGCGGACACAAGGTTAAGGCAGCCCATCCACGCCAAGGGAGCCAAAGGATAGGCCAACAGATTGCTCTCTAAGGAAATTGTATCCGCTTGATTGCAGTTACTTAATGAAAGTGCATAATTCGACAAGGACATGGATAGAAAGGCCAGTACCAGTTCATGGCAAGTGCTTAGTAGGTCGGCCAGAGTAGTCTTCGCCCTTTGTGTCCTTGCTGAGCACGTGCGAAACAAAAATACTGAAGATACGAGTATGACTATCCAACATATAGTCATGAGTTACCCAAGGCGATGCTCTACTTCAGCTTCACCTGCCACGCCAACTCGTACTGCCTCTGGAAAATAAAAACACAGATTTAATCCCAAACTCCAGTACAGCTCTTTAAGCAGAGGATGTCGGAAAACAGGAAAACATGCTCATATTGTGGCACCTCAGTGTTTGTGCTTTTCTTTTTTGTACAGCGAAAAAGTTTCTTGCATGGAATTTCGCGTAGCACGCATACCCCGTGTGGGCCGATGGCGGGGCATTGAATAAATGAAGACGAGTGCAGGCGACGGCTATGGCGATGGTCAAAACGAAGCTGCCACTGGCAATGGAGGATGGCGGATGGCGGCTGGCAGCACCATCCACAACAACAGCTCTCAAGTGCAGCGGCCAAACAAGCAGCGCCAACTGCAAAAGACAGCGCCAGGCAAAAGGCAGCAGCAAAAAATAAAACGCCACCAAGTCATTTTTTCAACTCTTTTTTTTGTGCTGTATTTAAATGGATATGCCTGAGATTTCCCCTTTTTGTTGTACGCAGCGGTTGTGCTCTTGAGTGAGCGCAGGGAAATATCGCAGTTTTCTCGCTGTCCCTTAACCGAAACATTTTAATTTAAATGTTGAAACGTGACAATGGCGTCGAGACTGAGGATATGAGGTTGTCTCATATGTCGCGCTGTCAGTCAAATTTTACAATGTACGCTACCCAAAGAACGATGGGAGTAACAATCCACAAGGGACAATCAGAAATAAATCCCATCCCGATGAATCTGTACAATTATCAGATAAATGGGTAGACATTTGTTGAAAATACTTATGTTCTACTTTAAGCGTTTAGTGATAAGTTCAATTACAATCTTCTTTCACAAAAATCAAAGCTCTGCAATGATTTAACGATCGCTTCTGATAGCAGACAGTTGAAACCCATTTGAACAGTTTACCCAATCGTTTGCAGATCAACACTGATTTCATTTCGATGGCTGCAGGGTATTTTCAGTGCCCATCTCCCCGTCAGCCCGGTGGTTATTCCTAGCCATGTTGTCACTGATGCTCCTGCTCCTGCTCCATCTGATTTTGTTGGTGCTGGTGCTGGTGTTGCCGTTGTCGTTTGAGTGGATTACCAGCAATATCCAATGGGGCTCTCCCTCCCGGATACCAAAGGGGCCCCCGGCATCGTTCAGTTGACAGACGAGAGTCGAGAGACGAGAAAAAAGCTGAAACGCTGTTAAATTATGCCTGCTCAAAAAGAGTTGAATGACGTGGGGAAGACTCCTCCGATGTGGATGGGGGATGCGAAATGGGGGATGGGGAATGGAGGATGGAGGCGTACGGGAGGCAATGACGAGCCTGTGGTTACCACAGCTCAAGTGCCAATTAATAAGTTTGCCTTTGGTATGAATGGCGACCCTTCCGGGCGGCCCTCGTCATGTGATTGCAGTTGAAGAGTTTCGACTGCCGATGGCTGTCGAACGAAGGCTGGTCAGCCCTCTCTGTGTACATGAATTATTCAAAGAAAAGGATATTAAAAGAACACACACACAGACACACATGCACACAACCCGTTTCCTTTTTTTTTTGTGTACATGTGCAGCTCGCCTGGACCCTGGGACCCTCGACTGGGCTCTGGGGCTGGACGATGCGCCTGAGTAATTGGAAGTTTTTACTGCTGCCTCGTTTGTTCCATTTTCGCGTTCAGACCCGCATTCTGACTCGAACTCTGACTCCAACTCTGCCTTTGCCGATGCTTCTGTTGCCCCTCATATTGCTTTGGCTGCTGTTGTTGATGAAGCAAATTTTAATGAATAATGTGCGGAAACACGCGTTGTCATTAAATATTTATGAAGCAGTGCTCGAGCTTAAAGCCGCCTGGGAGCAGCACAAAATATTTTCTGATTTCCGTTCCAGTGTATATCCAATTAGAATAAGTTTTAGCTTACAATTTCACAGTGTATCAATGCCAGGACTTTTATTCGGGTGTAGATTATACAAATTAAAGTGTAATTATGTGCCAGAGTGTAATTTACAATCAAAAACTTTGCATAAACTTAAATTATTTACCGTATTGTACTATCAATTTAAAGAAAGGAAAGTTGAGTTAATTTAAGCCCGCACATTTTATGTTTACCTATGGCCATTAAGAGGAGTCTATGGGAGAAGAACTTCCCCTTCAACACAGTTTCCTTTACTTTTTTCAATTCGATAAGGACTCTCATTTTTACATTTCAATTAGCATATATATGTATG